GCATCCAGTCATTTAATGTATTTGTTAATTTCACCAATAGCTCACTTACTTAACTTAATTAGTTAATTAAAACTTGATGAGGTATTGATCAGCCAAACATGAATTGCTAGTGGTTGAATAAACAAATACACTGATATATTGGATGGTTACTGAAAAAACTGGGGTAACTTTAAGAGAGGTTTTGAAATGGCTCATCAGAGATTAAAATCCAACAAAGATAATTTAAACACTAAAAAACAAAGACACAGACGTAGCATAGTCCAAATAGATTGTTACATCTCCTAACCCCCCCCAGCCCAAACCACCACCACCCTCCAGACGGTTTCCCCCCTCCTGTCCAGACAATGCTACACTGAGTCCATGCTGGTGTTTCATTACCTACTTTAATTAAGTCTGGTTATACGAAGGTGGACTTCTTTAGAATAATGTGAGGTTCAAAGGCCTTGATCCCTAACCCTCTGTGAGGAGGAAGCAGCCATCTAAGAGTTAGGGGATCTGCTTTGATCATCAGTAGAACAGACTAATCTTTTATTTTGTCTTCTCTGACACAGTTTGTTGATAATTCCTGTTAACGTTTTACCTGGAATGTGCACAGCGCATAAAAGCAGAATTACAGCTGCATAAAGGAACACGGGTTCTAGCTGTTTCAAGAACTGACAGGGTGGACACTGTGAAACAAAGTTACATTTCTTGTGTTTATGTTCTCATTTAGTGGCTTATCTGATGCATTGAATCACAAGTTCTACAGAAGGACTGCATCTGGAACAAAACTCTTGCAGTTACAAGTTTGCATCCTTTAGACTCAGTGAACGTGCCTGGGTATTAATGTGATTACATGGAAAAATAGGATTTACCCCATTTGCCAAGTATCAACTGTCAACAATCAAAAACTCCACATTTCAATAATTTAAATAAATCTACTTTATAAGATCCACTATTAAAGTTTCTTACGTATAAAATCTGGGCATGATAAATATGCACTTCTAAGGAAGGATTATACCTGTATTAAGTACACTGGCAATAATATGCCCATTAGACCTCTGAACAATTTGTCTCTTTTATAACCTTCAGTTCCTCACGATTGGATTTGACTGATGTGCCAGAGCCTAACAAGCTCTGCAAATACACAGCTAACTCCATTTTAAAATGATTGTATAAAACAATCATTCATAAAATGTATAGCATGCTTTAATGAAATCCCTGTTTTGTGTGTGTGTGTATAGTGTGTGTGTAAATATAATGTGTAAAAAGTCAGTTTTTTATTATAGCTTATTTGCCCATTTAATGAATTTCTGATTTTTAACAGGCCTAATCTTCATTTGGTCTCTGCTCCTCTCTAACAAGCTACTCAAACATCTGTCACTGTCTTTTTGAAGTTGCCACCACCGCGGGTCCCGGCTGGATATGGCTGCTGAGTGACAGGCGTCTTAGCAGCTACACTGGCTGAGAAAAAGGTGAATCTTATCCAGCAATTTCCCACAAGAGCACCAATAATCATGCCTCATACTTCGTAGGAAAGAAAATAAACCCGAAGAAGAAAAACAGAAAAAAAACTACTGCAAAAATGGCAGGCATAAATTATTTAATCAAAACATATTTCGAGGACAAAAAAATGATTACAGTAATATCTGTTTAAGTATAATAGAGAGATCAGCACAAATTAAGAGAGACAGATGCACTTTCCTGCGTGTAGTTAACAGTAAAATATTTACATAAGGTTAAAGATTTTGGTTAATTTAATTTTAATTGAACACATCAACATCTGGAGAATCAGTAACGCATCAGATCATCCTACTAAGGTAAACTAAGAACGTAATGATCAGGAAATAAGAAAAGAGCAGGTTCTGTAAAGGGGGGGGGG